ATGGTTGAGAAAACGCTCTTTTATACAAAAGAAAATAGATTTAAAAGTTCAAAGATGATAATTCTGAATGGATGGCTTTTATTTTCTCCTTAATATAGCAATTAGTTACCTGTTAAGACAGAATGAATGAGAAAAGTAAAAAGATTTGAGAAGTAAATATGTTTTCCAATAATTACCGTACAAAGGGGTTAAACATTTAAAATTAAGACAAAGTGTAATACTGTTCTGAAGTCCCATTTAAATTTTGTGATAATGAATTTATAGTAGAATCAACCTGTGTTTCTGTGTGACTTTTCCCTAGCCATATTCAGCCATTCAGGAAAAGGCATTAACTGTTTCATGCTAGGTTAAGGTTCCACCCAACAGATGTAAGGAGAAAGTAACAAGGTGGTGGAGATACTGCCTTCCCCTGGAAAAAAGTACTGCATTGGGCATGATGGCATTTGTCTGTGATCCCAGTACCTGAGTGCTGAGGCAGGAGGATCACCATGAGTTTGGGAACAGCCTGGGCTACACAGTGAGTTTAAAGCCAGCCTGAACTACATAGCAAAACCCTGTCGCAAATGACCACCCCTCCACCAAAAAAAGTACTGAGATTGCTAAAGATTATGAAATCTAAGCTAGGTAAACAAAATCATCAAAGAACACTGATGCACTAAGAGAAAGCAGAAGGATCTAGAAGGAATGATGTAACTATACAGTAAATGTTTAAATTTTTAAAATTATAGTAAAAGCTACACTGCCATTAATCACACTCACAACACTCCCTTTTGCTTCAAAGACTTACCCCATCTTTCTTGCTACTTTCTGCGGCAGTTCTGAAAATCTTTCATCTTTATAAAGTGATTAAGAAATACACCTCATGTGAACGCTGCCACAGTGCCATCCGACAGAAAGGCGGGCTCTTTTACAGTGCGCCATCACCCACTTTATTCACTGGATGTGGCATCGTGTGACTTCTGGCTCTTCCCCAGAGTCAGAATGACCATGAAAGATAAATGTTGCAAATAGATTTAGGACACTGAGGCAGCCATGACAGCTCAAGTAAAATATAAAAGAGGATTTCCACAACTGCTTCAGAAAGTGGCGAGAGTGATGGGGTAAGTGTGTTCAAAGCCAGAGGGCATATTTTGAGGGAGATTCATGGCAATGTGCTTTTTACTGCAATAATTTTTTTAAAATTTAAACATTCCTGTATGTTTCAATCACCCTCATATAGGTCAGGATAAGGTCACGGTACAAGATGCACAATTAGAAGGAGTTGTGGTCAGAATGGGATGTGGGAATTAGGTATCACCTGAAGGAGAGGAAATTATTGTGAATTACTGCAAATGAGGTACAGGAGGAACTGCAAGTCCACGTTTCAGCTGGACTTGCTGCTTTTCCATACAGATGTTCTAGTCTAGAGTAAGTGATGATCACAAAGAGCTCTGGTGGAAAAGAAAACCGCCAGAGGCTTCAGTCTTTGATGAATAACCAAGAGTAGTCATGAGGCTGTTCAGCAGATAACGGCAAAAGAACTAATAAAAACCTGATTCACGAAAAAGAACTTCAACGGAGCAGAGACTAACGGAAAAAAAAAGGATGAAAAATAATGGTGTTATAAAGGCAGCAAAAAAAATAAAGTTGATTTTCTAGGCCATGAGGTTTAAAAGACTACACATGCAGTAAAATAAGGAAGTGGAAAAGCACTAGCAAAACATTAAGAATTACAGAAGGGTTGGCTTTCCATGGGAAAAAAACGTAGTTCCTAGGGCTGTAGCAAAGGTAAGGAGGAGTGAGACAAGAAAGGAGGATACTTCGGCCACTATGACAGTGTGATGGTGGTGGTGCTGTGTGTGCAGGTGGGTAGTCACGGAGGAAGGAGACACCTAAGTAAAACGAGAAAAGAAGATATGGATTTTGGCTTCTGCCCTAAGAGCGTGCAAAAAAGAGGGACAATATAAAGCATAAAAATGTCTCTATCCAGGCTCTACGGGACAGATTCCAATGTCCCATTAAGCTTCATTTTTAATATCTTCCAACCACATTCCTTAAAAATTTTCTTATCCCAGTTACACAGTTAGTAAATTGAAATACTGAAATTGTGACTTTTTTAAAAGTAAGTGGCTCATGCAGTGACATAAAAGGTCTCTAAGCACAGAGAAACATCAGTGTGATCTTGCAATACTTCTGGAGAATGAGAAAGATACATTACTTTTTGGTGATTCTTACAATCTATAGGACCTCAAACACTAGATGTACCACTTCAAAAATTTGATTAAGTGAAAGCAGACAGAAAGAGACCAGTATTATGGATCTGATTACTTTTTTTGTTTTTTTTAGATCTAGTATCCCTTTAAAAATCTAACAAAAACTATAGGACATTCTTGACAGAAAAATGTACCATACACATAAAATTCTGCATGCTATTTCAAAGAGGTCAGTAAGTCCAATTCTAGAATTCTCCCTTTAAGACTCAGATTATTTTGAAAGCACATTAATTTATATTCATAATATTACCCACGGGCAAAGATAAAAACCTCCATTCACTAAGTTATCCACTGAGCTACTGTTCAGAGCAGTGTGATATACTGCCACTCATCCAACCACATTACAAAGTCACCCTCAAACTAGCATGATGCTGGACGGTAAACTCTATTGACACAGGTCAATAGAAATGAACTAAACCAACCAGTCAGGAATCAGTAAGAGATACAATGCAAGCATTCAAATACATATTAGAAAATGCAAAATGTTTACTATGTTCTCTCATTCTTTTCAACCAAAAGGAAATTCATTTAGTACAATAATAACAGTTCTAACAAACTGAGTACTGCTTTCAGTAAGTCCCAAAATATGGCAGCAGGAAATGAGTACTGGATGGAAATAGGAAGCCTGGGTTCAGGTCCCTGTCCTGCCACAGACTAGCTGTTACCTTACAGCAGTTCATTTCACTAACTTCAGTTTTCTCTGAAGGTTTTGTATTTGGGGTTGTTTTTGGTGAAGTTGGCAGTGCTTGAGATCAAACCTAGAGCCTCGTGCTTGCACCATACCCCACCTCTCCTCTCAAATTTTATGTGACATAAAGTTTCCACTTCTTATAATGAATCCAGTGATTTCTGGGTCTGTCAAGGCAGATACCTACAACTCTCAAACTACTGAAATGTCCATCAGTAAAACAGGCCACTGAGGTAAAAGAAGTATGTGCCACTCCAAATCAGTGTCTTCCTCAAAACCAAGCAAAATCTACCCATCAAATCATGGTCACCTGAAAGATATGCATTCTGAAGATTCATATATTAATGACTACTGTTCAGTTTCTAACGTAAGAGAGAACTGCTTCTCTGTTAAGATTCTTCATCAGACAGAAATAAGCACTTCCAAATGGTAAGTCCAGTGTTCTTGTTTTATAAACAAACAAGAAACAAAGAATTGACACAATTTCACCTTAATGTCAGGGCCTGCACCCACACCAGATTCCCTACCTGCCTGGCCAATTTACATTTCTCATACTTCAGTAATCTCTGAAGCAAAGCATAATTAGAAACTCCCGCCCTCTGTCCCCAGTGGCTACCCACTGCTGAGCTGCTTCCTCCAGAGCGCCACTGCTTCCTTTTCGGGGCTAACAGCCAATTAGAAGGGTCTAGGTTTTCTTTCGAGCATGAAATGATTAAGGTCTTTTGTCCTGAAGAGCTTTTCCAATACATACTCCTTTGTAAAGGATGCAAAGCTAAATCACTCCAGCGTAACTGACTCTTGCTGAGTTTCATGAAATCCTCTGCCTGCATGTCCACATGATGTACTTCCTTCTGCCTCACACCCTGTGTCTTTAAGCACATTAAGTATGAGACTGCATGCTCTTGACAGACAGGAAGTACCTTAGGCACATTTACACAATCCTCTGCACGTGTCACAGTGCTCTACCTATAATAAGCATTCACTAAATACAAACTATTAACACCTGTGGGTTTAAATTCACCTTTGTCGTAACAAGTTATCCAAGACCTTCTTCAAGCACTAACCTCAAGTCAGTCTTTCCCTAGTTTCTGCACGTAACACCAACCACATCCTACCGTTTGGCGATGTGAATTCTCGAAGCCAACCTGGCACCTGCTATTGGCACTGTCTGTGCTCTCCTCCCAGGAGCTTCTCGTGTCTCTACCTTCACAATAACTATGCAGATGTTTAGAGTTGATCTGCCAGAGACATATAACCTTGGCCTGCGACACAGCCAGATTTTTTTAAAGGTGTAAGTCCCACAGCAGCTATTCTCAAAGAGCTTATATGCTATTCTCAGACAAGCTGAAGAGATGAGTACAGAGACAAGAGAAATTCCAAATATGTATCTGAGTAATTATGAAAGACTTAACAAGCAAAATGTGATCTGACTGTAAAGTAAACAAAGAGGAAGGAAAAATAAATGAGAAAAAGCAAATTTAGGGATCAACAGGATAAAAATTCTAAGACTAAGCAATGATGAAAAAACTTCTGAAGACTATGTAACTGAGGCTTCTAATAAAAGGCCTTTGAAAAAAAGATCTCTTGTAGACCTTTGTTCAAATATTTTCTCATTTAATAAACAGAAAATAATACATGCAGTATTTCATATTCTCAAGAAAGATAATTACTAAATTATCTTATTATGTTCAGTAATAAGGATGCCCAATTTAAGATTACATAAGAAAAACCATGGAAACTTACATGTGATAATGGTGATTTCTCCACAAAATGTTGCCATGTCTTACCAGACTGTAATTTCTGAACCTTAAGATCCATTTCTATTCTACAGATACTTTCTACCCAGGAGTAACCAGTGTGTGTGTGTGTGTGTGTGTGTGTGTGTGCACGCACACAAGTATATCTGGGTGGGTGGTACTTTCACCTGAACCTAGAGCCTTGTGCATGCAAGGCAAGAGCTCTACCACTAAGCCACATCCCCAGTCCCATCAACTGTAATTAAACTAGTATGGCTAGAAACCTAAGGATCTGCCAAAAGAAATTTTCTTTATACAGTATTCCAAAGACAGTTTTTCCCATCTGCATAATGTACCACCTACTCACACACATTACATTTCTGAAGTATTAAAAAACAGTCTCAAACAAAACTTTAAAAAGTCAGGTTTTATTCTACAGAATTACCTATCATTGTCCTTATAATATCATCCTTGGAAGAAAAATCAAAATTATTTGCTGAAGTATGCAGTCAGCAAGTTCATGTTCACAATATGGCTTGAAAATCTGGTGTTATCAATTTGTCAAATGTCATTTTAAAAAGTTTTGAGAGGACATAACAAAAAGACAATGACCTGGTAATATAAATCCAATGAGACAGTTCTTTTGGAGTATAAATGTGAGAAAATGACCACCAAAATTTTAATTTTTTCTTTTTTTTGCAGTACCAGGGATCAAACTCACAACCTTGTGCTTGCCCGGCACGTGCTTATGCCACTGAGCTGTATCCCCAGGCCCCAATAAAATTTTAAATTAAGAATAACAGTGGGGCCTGAACTACCAGATATTAAGACCCCTGCAAAGCTGGAACAAATTAAAACCTGGTAATGGCACAAAAAGAGCTCAATAAATTAGAATAGAGCATCTTTAAAAAGTGTACCAATTATTAGGAATACATTTACATCTGTTATACAGGTAGTAATATGAATTGCATACATAAGATATACAATAATCAAAATATATACATTATATATACTCAAAGAGAAATTTAGCATATGCAGAAGTGTTTCATAGCAGTTGGAAAAGGATGAGTTTTTCAACCTTCTGTACTGGAAATAATGGCAATTCATTTAAAGAAAACATACGTGTACCTCATATAAATTCCTTATTGATTAAAGGTATAGTTAAAAAAGCAGCATAGAAATACATTTATAATCTTCAGCTATGGAAAACTGACAAATCTGACATTAAAAATTTCTCCCTGATTAAAGACAGCACAAGCAAAAGCCCAAAACAAAAAAACTAATGCAGTGAAAATAAATACAAGTGGCTAATAAATCCAGTAGAGTTCCTATACACTAGTAAGGGGAAGAGTGGACTCACAAAAAGAAAAATAGGTGGAGAACTACTTAGTGGCAGAGTGCTAGCCCAGTGTAGACAAGGCCCTGGGTCTGACCTCATACTAAAATAAATAAACAAACAAACGAATTAATGCAAGCAATAAATAGATCAGGTCAACAAACATAAGTCAAAGAAAGTATGGCAGAAGCAGGGAAGAGAAAGAATAAATAAAGAAGCAGGTGGAAGGAGGAAAACAGAGATACCTAAGTATTTCTGTTTTATGAGCATCTAGTGTAGCCAAGGTGAAGGAGGTGAAAAGTGCTGTTTGTCACAGCTGGCAAGAGCGCAGCCTGGTACACGTGGGCAAAAAGAAAAGTTGATACAATCAAAATTTTGCTATGTACACTACACTTCTGAGAAATGTGGTTTATACAAATATTAACACTACTGTACCACAATAAAATGAACAAGATTATTTACTGTAGTGATTTGTAGCAGCAAAAGAAAGTGGATGTATACCATAAGAAATAGGTAACTTTCACTGTTCTCATAAATTTCTAAAGGAATAAAAAAAGGGAATACTATAGATGTAACTTCTTTGAACATATTCTCCTCTTACCAGATAAAAATTTCATGATAAAATCTAGCCTGCACTCATCACATTTTCTGAAGGATTTTTGGCACTGCTGACATTTTGCATGGGATAATTCACTGTTGTGAAGGGCAGGGCTCTGCATTGTGGGATTTTTAGCAGTATCCCAAAAATGTCTCTAGCTATTGATAAATGTCCATGATGAAGCAAAACCAGCTCTAGTTGAAAACTACTGCTTTTATACATAATTAGCAAAGGAATTAAATATACTATATATTACATAAAACTATCATTTCAAATACATACATCACCTCCAACTGATCCTTTTGCCCACAAAATCAGCAATCCTTTTAGTTTAGATCCAGCTAAGCTTGAAATAGCAAAATTACTTCTAACTTTTCTTCTCAAATATTTTCTACTAGTTCTATTAACTTATTTTCAGAAATATTTCTCAAATTTGTCTTTAGACCCACATATCTGCAGTGTTGAATCTGGTGCCACTCAGCTTTTGATCTCTAGTTCAACAAACTATGTTCTACCTCTGCCCACAACACTTTTCATCAATACCCCATTCACCTAAAATATATCATGCTTTATATAAAAAAATACAAAAAAATTCTGCTATACATCCTTCTTTGCAATATGACCCCAACTTACCTTTTAAGAGACATCTCTTCCTTGCTATTCCCAAATATAGACTGTTTTCTGTGTGCATGGCTATGGGTCATGAAATTTCTATGTACTATCCAAACACCACTACTCTCATGAAAATTAAGTTTTACTTTTATAGTAGGAAAATTTTATTAATAGCACAAGGGAACAAAGACTTCTCAACAATGCAAGAACCACAAAGGCCAGCTTCAACACCGTACGAAGATTCTTGGATTCATTTCCACAAAGATTTACTGAGCCTAAGAGGTAAAGACCACAGAATTGTTTCCCCTGTGTAACTGGTAAGTTTACATACTTCCATGCTCCCCCAGGGGAACCCTAACAACCACTTCATGTCAAAAGCCTCCAACTCACCAGTCACTCAGAGGTTGGCAAAGTAAGTAAGATACCGAGTCTGCCACCACATACTGAGTTTGAAGCCAGGCCTTTCCACTACACGGCCTCAAGTGAATCTAACTTTTCTCTGAACCTATTTTATCACCTGTAAAATAGCAGTAACTACTAATCAAGATGCTTGGTGAGTTCAATGAGTTAACCTATATAAAGTGCTCAGAGAAACTTCAAGCATATGAGTAATTTTCACACCACCATCAGAAAGCCAGAATCTGTGGGTCTTTGACCTCACCAAAATATCAACTTCCTTCTCTTTCCTCATTTGATAACAGGGAACCCCTAGACACCATTAGTTTCAACACTGTGCGAGGTTCTGGGATAAACAGATCAAAGAAAAAGACATGATTCTGATCCTAAAAGGAATTCAAGTCTGAAAGGGCTGCCACGTAAGTGTTTTCCTATTACAATGCAAACTGCAATGAAGGAAGGCCACAGGAAAGGTACTAATCCACCCATATTAGAAGAACCAGGGGAAGGGTGCTTCAAAAGATTCCTAATAAATCTGGGAGGAAAAAAAAGGAAAAGGGGATCAGGATGAGGGAGCATGACACTGGGATACAGGGCAGGAGAGCAAGTGGTAACACTTCGCAAAGCAGGAAACTCATTCAGGGCCGTGTATAACATTTAGAGCACTTGATTTTGTAATATAAAGACTCAGTGAATTATATTGTACACTTTAGCCACAGAATAAAAAAAGGATTGAAGAGGTCTTTTTTTTTTTTTTTTTTTTTGGTACCAAGAATCAAACTCATAACCTCACGCTTTTGCCAGGCAGGTGCTGCATCACTGAGCTATATCCCCAGCCCTCGAAGAGGCAAGTTTGAAGGGAGCGCATTTAGAAGACTGTTATACAAATACATTAAGAAATTATAGGATTAACCTAAAATAAGAACAATGGAGGGAAGAAAGGTAATAACAAAAAAGGATTATAAGACCTGCAGGGTGAGAACACTTGCCTACTGTGTGCATGCGAGAGTGGTGGATTTCATGGGGTGGGGGAGGAAAAGGTGTTAAAAGATAAAATCTGGTACCTTTAAAACTTGAATGAATGTAGGAGGAAAGAAGGACAGTCCAGAGAATTTCTGCCCAGGAAGAAAGGGTAGATAGTGGTGCCATTAAAAAGTATAAAAATGCAAAAGTCTTGCAGGGAACTAAGTCTGCTGGTCAGGATCTTGCTTCTCTTACAGGATCTTGCATTCACTCCAGAATTACAGCAGGCCACAGAACTCTTTTGTTTTATGAAACACTGTGTGAACACTACGGCAAGTCTGTAACTTTTCAAGTTAAACTATAATATGCTGTTACACAGAGGACACAAAGATGAGTAACACTCTTCAGGTGGCATGCTCAGACATGCAATCAAACTCAAGACAGAAAAACAATAAACAGGGAAATTCAGAGAATTCTGCAGGAAATCATAGGAAATGAAACAAGCATGAGAGGAAATACACTAATAGAACATGGTTATATTTAAATGTTAGAAATGTTTAAAAAAACAGCAACTCAAATGACTTCTAAAACGCTAATCCAGGTGCTGTTAATGAATACAGACACATTCACTGAGGATCTGAGATCCTTTAGGACATATGGACTAGGTCCACAGAAAACAGCAAGAAAATCAGGTTTACAGAACAGCAGATATGTGAAAGCCATTAAAACACTTGAACTCAGATCTAGACTGCTTGCAGAAAATGAAGGGAGAAAAGGCAGCCAACGAAGAAACTAGTAATAAAGAAATCAGAAAATAAGTACTCTCCTCCCCTGTGAAGTCCCTGCATGGAATTAAGACTCTACATCATGCAATTTGGGGGCCATATTTTTAGAGGTGATTTGATCCAGTCCATCATCTTAGAGGTGAAATTTTAAGTACACTGCTAAGATCATATAGATGATTAATGAACTTTCGCTCTTGTTTTCTCCAAGCTGCTTCCAAGGCATCCTCTCCTTTCCACGTCCCTGCGTCTTCTGGCCGCACCGCCTAGGACAGAGGCAAGTAGTGCGCCCAAGGTGACTAAGCCCAGCTCACCGTATGCAAAACACTGCCAGTCAAATAAAGGAGAGAACGAAAATGCTTTGTCTAGATCGGATTCTTCAAGTTCAGTGAAGGTACTCATAATTAAATCTACTCAGCTACCTGTAAGAGTTATCACTTAATTATTTTGATTAGATTTAATGTTTGTATTTCAAAATCTCCTAAGAATATACTGGACATGGTTATACCTTAACATATCATTATCTGCTTAACAAAGGAAAAGTTTTGACAGAATTTTAATTTCCAGTGGAAAACTGGAAGCTTTTCTTCCTCTAGTAATAAACACCTGGGCACTGTCTTCTGCTTATGCTGATTTTTAAGAGGTGGGAAAGGGTCAAAGCATATATCACAGCATATGTAACAATCGCAAATTGCTAAAAATACTAGCTCCAGACCAAAATGATATGCTTTGAATATCAAGGTTTTTGATGTTTATCCTCAGGTAGGGTATACTGTTTTCTATATTATATAATACTATAGTATTGCCTTTCTCTCCAGTCAATGTTCTGAGCTCCAGAACACTGTATTTTTACATTTTTCTGCAACATCTAGTCCAGTGCCCGATACATTTAGGCATTCAAATATTTAATAAAATTATGTAACTACATATAGAAAAAATGCGTATTTCCTAATCTAGTGATTGTCATCTCGGCAGGAACAGGCAGATTAAAAAAAAAGGACATCCTTACTCTTTCTCCTTTGAAAATTACTAACACTGGAAGACACTGATGTTGACAAATATTGTATCTCTTAGATGTCACAGGACAGGAAAAAAAAAGATTAAGAATATTTATCTGCCATGAAACTGATTTTAAAGATGAAAAGGTGAGGCTTTAAACAACCTCTATACCAGTTTAACATTCTTTGCAAATTATAAACACATCCCTTGTTGACTGGTTTCAGATTCATAATTAAGGGTTATCTGAAGACCTGCTCAAGCCAGCAAATTACTTCAGATGACCTTTTAAGATTTGTGCTCTATCTTACTTTTAAAAATAACTACTTCATCTATCCAGTGAAAATATCTCTTTTCCACATTCCCATACTTACACAGGCCATTAAGCTCAACACTACGCAAGTGCAAAATGTCTGAACATCTTAATAATACCATCAACATAATATATAGAATACCCGCACATAATGAAAACTTTTGTCTAGGAAGTAACTTTCTTAAACCCAAAGAAAATAAAGATTTTGTTTTCCTTCACACAAAATCCACAACTAAATGAGAGAAGTATTACGAGATAACAAGGGATAATTTTAAAAAGTAAACTTTTAGCATTAACCTATTTTAAGTTTGAGTAGGGGCTGTTAGCATAGCTCAGAGCCTTTGACCAACATTCATAAGCCTTGGGTTTGATCCTTAGCACTGTAAAAAAAGAAATTTAAAAAGGGAAGACTGAAAGGGGAAAATAACAGTATATATAAAGATGTCAAATAGTAATATAGAATACTAGTTTCTGCTTTAAATTAAAAATGCTTTGCCAGGCATGGTGGCACACACTTGTAATCCCAGCACTCAGGAGGCTGAGGCAGGGGGATCATTGAGAGTTTGAGATCAACCTGGGCTACAAAGTGAGCTCAAGGCCGGCCTGAACTGCATAGTGAGACCCTGTCTCAAAAAAACAAAAAAAAAAAAATGCTTTTATAATTTTTAATCTATGCTTTGAAAGTATTCAATCAAATTGTAATCCAAAAATTGATTCTGTATTTTAAAACGTGTTATATACAACTTAACTGTTATATAAATAATTCTGTATTTTAAAACATGCTATATATATATAACTGAATGTATATATACACATATTCGCTCATACCTATATGTACATATAATAAAAAGAAAACAAACAATATAAAATTATATGTACATTATGATCTTAACATAAAAGATAAAAATAGGAAAAAAATCTGAAAGAAAATATAGTAAATAACTGTTTTCAGTAAGAAAAATCATGAATTTTTCCCCTTTTTCTAAATTAATAACGTATTACTTTGACATTGCATAAGAGTGACTTGAAATATTTCAAAAAAGTTAAATTTATAAATTCACAATAGAACAGTTTAATGTGAAACAAATTCACAATCTAGTCATTCAGATCAAAACATCTTGAGTTTAAAAAATATCAAAGATTGAAAAATGAAGAGGGGTTTTCCAGGTAAGTATACCTTTTGCCCTTAATCATTTTTCCTATAAATGGATTTCAATATGCTATTAAGATTTTCAAATTTCACAGAAATTAGTGATAAATTTTCAATGAAAAAATTTCAAATAAGAACTCATTTCACGGAATGTAAGTAAGCATTAAAATTCTAGTTACAAAAAGAATTGTAGTTTCAAAAAAAATTCTACTTACATTCACACTGATAAACTAAGTTACTAAGAATAAACCACTTCCTTTATAATACAGTTGCCCTGACTGTGATTTATCCAGTATAAATTGTTCACTTTAATACACCCAGATAGCATAAATTACTCATAAAATCCATCATGCAGTACCCACCTCCCATCACACAGAAGGAAAAACGTTAATGGAACCAGATTTCAATGTTATGTATGCATCACCGAATCAGCAATTTTTAAAAATTAAAAAGAGTAAATTAAGACATTTCAACCAGTAAGAGACTGAATTATAAATCTGACACAAAACTACAAACCTAATACACAAAGTATAATATTATGACCATTATATAGCAGCAAGAATTCCTACCACTTCAACGGTTAGGGAATAAAGACAATATTATGGTACTAGTAATTTTCTTTTTAAAGACACCATTTATATTTTATTTGTAATTACTACTATCTTTGAAAATGTTGTTAGATCAGAAATAAGCCTAAAAAATAAAGCCTTTTATACTTTATGGAAGGGAACATTACAAACCCTTTAAGATAAACAAGGGGCAAATACAGTGGTGTTCTTCATCACTGTGTTTAACTTATTGTAAACCAGATCTCACGCATAGCCCCCCCATTATTTGCTTCTGTTAATCCTTTCTATTACAAGCTTAAACAAAGTATTAGTTTGGGCAAAGGGTAGAGGCATATTTGAGAAATACCTCCTCAATGATGCAGAATAATCCAACTTTAATGAGCTCCTCTTTTATGCCAAAAAAATGCTATAATGGCTTAACAGATATGAGCTCCTTTAACATCATAGTTATCCTAAGAAAAAGAAGTATTATCCTACTTTTACAAATAAGGAAATTGGTACAGTGTTAATTTGCTTAAACCTCACCATAGCTAGTAGTTTGTTCCACTAGAATCTAAATCCAAGTAGTCTAACCTCAGTAGTCATGCCCTTCTAAGTCACTGCTGGGAATGAGAATCAACAACTTCTGGTCATAAAATCAGAAAAAATACTGAATATTTAAGATAGAGGGAAAGCCCTATGAGAAATAAAAATCTCACAGTACACAGTGCTGAAAATCAGAAAAAAGGACTATAAGAACCTTGCTGAAAACCTCAAGAAAGGGTTCCAACTAGCAATACATGATAAATAACAGTTACAGTGTTAACGAAACTTTTAAGAAATTGAATTTCACTAATATTCTCTTTAGGTGTCACTTATGCTGTTTTTAATGGCAATAAAATTTATATATCGAGGCCTACACAAACTCAACCTAATCCTTATTTCAACCTAGTCCCTCTCACCCACCACCGAGACAGTGACTAACTCCAGGGCCTCACACATGCTGGGTAATCCCCCGTCACTGAGCTACATCCCTAGCCCTGACTTGGGCATTTTCCAGAAACGACCTGAATGATAAACAAAGGCTACTAGAAAAATCCTAAACAAATTTAAGTTTTAAAAAAATATATAATAGGCCACTTGCACATCTCTAGGTAAAATACACTACATTTAAATGCCACCATTTATTTATATATTTTGGTCAAGAGTCAAGCCTAGACAGTTTAATAAAACTGGTAATAGTACCAATATCCAGAAATAACTCTATATTAATAAATGTAATGGATTTTGAAACAATTACTAAAATGAAGGAAAGAGAAATTAATATTATGTTAAGGGTTACTCTACAGTAGATGCTGCTGAGTTAAAGAATAAACCATTATTACACCAACTAATATTATCTAGACACTAGACATTATTACGTATTACACTAGGTAATATCAGATTACAATGTCACCATTTTAAAAGAGAAACCAAGTCTCAGAGAAATCCAATAACATATCAAAGTCATACAAAAGCAAATGGCAGAGCTAGGTAGCAGGAAGTTATTGATCTACCATCTTATCGAGCTACCATCTCCTTGCACTTTATCACACACTACCAGTCACAGCACACATGCTGATGCTTTTTTTTTTTTTTTTGAGATAGCGTCTCACTATATAGTTGAGGCTGATCTTGAACTCACTATGTAACCCAGGCTGGCCTCGAATTCACAGGGATCCTCCCACTTCAGCCTCCCGAGTGCTGGGATAACACGTGCGCACCTCCGTGCCCAGCCTGATGCATTCTTAAAAGTCTAATGAAACTCTAGAAGAAACAGTTCTGCCCTCTTTATATTCTCCACAAAAATAAATTCTAGAGAAATTAAACTTAATATTTAAAAATATTAACAATAATTTTCTCAAAAGAAAATTTAGCGTATGTACAATTTACAGACTGAGGTTTCTTGTTTCTTAATCCAAGACCAAAAACTAGCAAATAAAAACAGACAGTGAATTAAAAGTTCTAAATTTTGAACCAAGTATGGTGATGCACGCCTGTAGTCTAGCTATTCAGGAGGCTGACATAGGAGGATCACAAGTTTAGGCCAACCTGGGTGACTTAGCTAGACCCTGTCTCCAAATACAATTTAAGAAGGGCTAGAGTGCTTGCTTAGCATTTGCAAGGCCCAAAATTCAACAGCACTGTAATTGCAACTGTACTGCAAAAATAACAACAAAGAAGTTTTAAATTTTCTTACAGAAAAATCGTAAGAAAATTAAAGGACTAGAGAAACTATTATAAATGGCTCAATGTTTTAAAATTTGGCAACGGGGGCTGGGCATTTAGCTCAGTGGCACAGTGCCTGCCTGGCAAGCGCCAAGGCATGAGTTCGATTCCCAGTACCA